CCTGTGTGTGTTGTAAAGTAGTCACCGCTCCAAGCTCCGCCCCCCGGGATGGACTACAATCTCATGTTTAGTTTACTAATTTGTATTGAGATTGTAGTCCGTCCCGGGGGGGTGAGCTTGGAGCGGTGACTACTTTACAACACACACAGGGACCATGGGGAACAGACGTAGCCCCCCCTCCAGAAGGAAGGACAGTGTCAGAGATGATTGGAGGGTCTCCAGCCGAGTGATGCACAAATAAGATGCATTGTTGTTCAGAGTTCAGGGACTGGAATGTATTTATAAGAATGAATTCCTGAGTGTAGTGTCACTTTAAGGGATCGGGTTTAGATCTACTTTGATGCTGTGTCATGGCGGTTGGTTGGTACCGGCAGCAGCATTTTTGCCCTGGAGTTCACTCGTTAGTCTTGTATGGAGCTCATTTGTTTTATTCTAATAGATTTCATTTATAGGCGGGTTGGGTGCACAGTGTAACAACCTATATACTTACACAGTGGAATTGATATCCAGCCCACATTTCTTTGCATTCAAGATGGCGCCATGATTGTTGGCGACTGGTGGGGACCATTAGTATTGGATGTCATGCTCGGCATGGACGTTAGATGACTAAGCTGGGTCATTAGTCTGAGATGCTAAGTTACTTTTTGTGGTATCAGTCTCTCCTTTTCTCTCGTGTATCTCCTAAACTGTTTAATTTTTGTAGATTTTGGTCAATACTTTTCCAGCCGATCCTCTACATACTAATAATATAATGGGTTGCCTGGAGCGGTAAGGTAAAAGGTTCTCAGAGGGACTAGCACAGCCTAGAATTCCCTCAGTTAGAAGAATGAATTTCTTTCTTGTCCATTGAGGGACATAGGAAGTCTGTCACCTTTTGGGTTATACTGCCATTGATATGAGGATTGGACACTGGCAGTACAGGATAACCTCTCCTACTACCAGCATGCCTCAGTTTTCTGTTCATGTTCTAGAAGGACGGACGTCTTCTCTTCAGCTGCTGTATTGAAAACAGTTTTACTTCAGTCAAGACTCTACATCGCTGCTGGTGCTTTGTCTCTTCAGTTGCAGCTCTCGGCACAGTCGTCTTTTGGAGGACTGATCCCGCTGGACTAGACGGGGCAGGTATAGCCTGGAACTGACATTCAAATCCTAGGTTCTGCATGGGGTGCTTTCCAGGCGCCATTCTAGTACAAGTTAGCTGCGGAGCGCTTTCCATTTCCAGACCTGCTGGCCTTGCCTCAGCACTTGCCCTGTTTCTGAAGACTCAGTGGTTGGGCTGGTTGTGCTCAGTACTGGGAACTACTCCCATTTGCATAGGTCATTGGGTGCCTTTACTTCATGATTCCGCCTGGATGTTGCCCTGGAAGGAGTCACCGCTGTGGGACTGAGTGGTGACATCATCTTATTATCACCATACAGCACCGGGAAAACATCTCCCCACCGCTGCTCCTGCATGCATGGGATTTTGTCTGGTTACAGGAGCACCCAGACCATCATGAATCTCAAAGCTCTGAACATCTTCATTCCGTTATACAAATTCCACATTAAGTCCACCAAATCTCCAATAGCGTCCTTACTCCAGGTGACTGATGATGTGATTTCAGCGCATCAGCAATTTTTAGACTTTGCCTTGGGGCCCCTGTACTGCCAGTTCGTGGCCTTGCCTTCAACCTCTTGTCTGCACCTTGGGTATTCCCCAAGGTTCTGGCTCTAGTATTATCCTTGCTGTGCTGCCATGGAACCCACATTGTGGGTTTTTGGCCTCTAGAAGACATGTTGTCATGGGACAAGTCAAGCTACTCTTTGGACAGACTGATTCGTTTGTCACTGGACACCAGGTTCTGGAGTCAGGGAAGTCCTTCCTTCCTTGTCTTTTTTGGAGGATCCTAAAAGGCACAACCCATCACCTATGCCATTCAAGCAAATAATTGATAAAATGAAGAGTGATGAGAGAAAGATGGCCACACTCCCAGAGAGAGATTCCCGGACCTCAGGGAGGCTTAATACCCCTTCATGCCTTTAACCAAGTCCCCTGCCCTCACTTGTCTCTCTTTGGCGCCTGAATCTACCCCACCTCATGCATACTGTCATACACCGCCACCTAGACAGGAAGGACTTTCTTCCGAATGAAGACCTGCCACTGTGCATTCCACATGAAATAAGGACCACTAAGCTAACTAAAAAAGTGTATGCAAGCACAAAACCCCTCCAGCATTGAATGCTCCATACAACCAATCAGCATAACTCAGGCTGGAGAGTTGAGGAACACGGAGGACCTGCCCCACCTGTTCAAAATGGCAATGAAGCGGAAAATGGTCCAAAGTCT